ATCACCATCATCAACAACAACAACACCATCACCACCACCATCACCACCATCACCACCATCACCACCACCATCACCACCATCACCATCACCACCACCACCATCACCACCACCATCACCACCACCATCACCACCATCACCACCACCACCACCTCAGTGTACTCAGTGAGAAGTTTGGTTTCACCGCAGCGAGGGGATCTTGGACCCCCTCCCCCCCCGTCCCTCGCCCCCCCCCCTCGCCCCCCCCCTCGCCCCCCCCCCTCGCCCCCCCCCTCACCCCCCCCTCGCCCCCCCCCTCGCCCCCCCCCCCCCCCCGGCCAGCTCCGAGGGGCCTTGTGAGATTTTCTGTCTTGATACAAACACACTCACACACTTATACATACACTTACACTTACACACTTACACACTCACACACTTACACTTACACACTCACACACTTACACTTACACACTTACACACTCACACACTTATACACTCACCACTCACCCACCCACCCACTCACTCACTCACTCACCCACCCACTCACTCACCCACTCACTCACCCACTCACCCACCCACTCACTCACTCACCCACTCACTCACTCACTCACCCACTCACCCACTCACCCACCCACTCACCCACCCACTCACCCACTCACCCACCCACCCCCTCTCCCCCCCTCCCCCCAGCTGGGGGCTCCAGCGGTGGGCTCAGCCCCCAAGGGGTCAGGAGGCAGTGGACCGCTCCTCACAGCCAGCGGCAAGAACCCCATCATGGAGCTCAACGAGAAGCGTCGGGGACTCAAATACCAGCTGCTGGGGGAGGCCGGGACCGGCTATGACAAGAAGTTCACCATGCAGGTACTCACCAGATCACTCACCAGATCACTCACCAGTCTACTCACCAGATCACTCACCAGATCACTCACCAGATCACTCACCAGATCACTCACCAGATCACTCACCAGACTACTCACCAGGTTACTCACCAGGTTACTCACCAGATCACTCACCAGATCACTCACCAGACTACTCACCAGGTTACTCACCAGACTACTCACCAGGTTACTCACCAGACTACTCACCAGGTTACTCACCAGATTACTCACCAGGTTACTCACCAGACTACTCACCAGGTTACTCACCAGATCACTCACCAGATCACTCACCAGGTTACTCACCAGGTTACTCACCAGACTACTCACCAGATCACTCACCAGGTTACTCACCAGATCACTCACCAGATCACTCACCAGGTTACTCACCAGACTACTCACCAGACTACTCACCAGGTTACTCACCAGGTTACTCACCAGATCACTCACCAGTCTACTCACCAGATCACTCACCAGGTTACTCACCAGATCACTCACCAGATCACTCACCAGGTTACTCACCAGATCACTCACCAGACTACTCACCAGGTTACTCACCAGATCACTCACCAGATCACTCACCAGGTTACTCACCAGGTTACTCACCAGACTACTCACCAGATCACTCACCAGGTTACTCACCAGATCACTCACCAGATCACTCACCAGGTTACTCACCAGACTACTCACCAGACTACTCACCAGGTTACTCACCAGGTTACTCACCAGATCACTCACCAGTCTACTCACCAGATCACTCACCAGGTTACTCACCAGATCACTCACCAGATCACTCACCAGGTTACTCACCAGGTTACTCACCAGGTCACTCACCAGATTACTCACCAGGTTACTCACCAGATCACTCACCAGACTACTCACCAGGTTACTCACCAGATCACTCACCAGATCACTCACCAGGTTACTCACCAGACTACTCACCAGGTTACTCACCAGACTACTCACCAGATCACTCACCAGATTACTCACCAGACTACTCACCAGACTACTCACCAGACTACTCACCAGATCACTCACCAGGTTACTCACCAGATCACTCACCAGGTTACTCACCAGATCACTCACCAGATCACTCACCAGGTTACTCACTCACCAGCTCGCTCACCAGCTGCTGAGGGAGGCCGGGACCGGCTATGACAAAAAGTTCACCATGCAGGTACTCACCAGATCACTCACCAGACTACTCACCAGGTTACTCACCAGATCACTCACCAGGTTACTCACCAGACTACTCACCAGATCACTCACCAGATCACTCACCAGGTTACTCACCAGACTACTCACCAGATCACTCACCAGATCACTCACCAGATCACTCACCAGACTACTCACCAGACTACTCACCAGACTACTCACCAGATCACTCACCAGGTTACTCACCAGGTTACTCACCAGACTACTCACCAGATCACTCAGCCACTCACTCACCAGACTACTCACCAGATCACTCACCAGGTTACTCACCAGATCACTCACCAGATTACTCACTCACCAGACTACTCACCAGATCACTTACCAGACTACTCACCAGATTACTCACCAGGTTACTCACCAGACTACTCACCAGATTACTCACTCACCAGACTACTCACCAGATCACTCACCAGGTTACTCACCAGACTACTCACCAGACTACTCACCAGATCACTCACCAGACTACTCACCAGACTACTCACCAGGTTACTCACCAGACTACTCACCAGGTTACTCACCAGGTTACTCACCAGATCACTCACCAGGTTACTCACCAGGTTACTCACTCACCAGTCTACTCACCAGCTGCTGGGGGAGGCCGGGACCGGCTATGACAAAAAGTTCACCATGCAGGTACTCACCAGATCACTCACCAGATTACTCACCAGATTACTCACCAGGTTACTCACCAGACTACTCACCAGGTTACTCACCAGACTACTCACCAGATCACTCACCAGACTACTCACTCAGCCACTCACTCACAAGATCACTCAGCCACTCACTCAGCCACTCACTCAGCCACTCACCAGATCACTCACTCACCAGATTACTCACCAGATCACTCACCAGGTTACTCACCAGATTACTCACTCACTCAGCCACTCACCAGATCACTCACCAGACTACTCACCAGATCACTCACCAGATTACTCACCAGGTTACTCACCAGACTACTCACCAGATCACTCACCAGACTACTCACCAGGTTACTCACCAGATCACTCACCAGACTACTCACCAGATCACTCACCAGATCACTCACCAGATCACTCACCAGACTACTCACCAGACTACTCACCAGGTTACTCACCAGATCACTCACCAGACTACTCACCAGACTACTCACCAGGTTACTCACCAGATCACCCACCAGATCACTCACCAGATCACTCACCAGATCACTCAGCCACTCACTCAACAGATCACTCAGCCACTCACTCACCAGATCACTCACCAGATCACTCAGCCACTCACTCACTCAGCCACTCACTCACTCACCCGCTCACTCACCAGATCACTCAGCCACTCACTCAGCCACTCACTCACTCAGCCACTCACTCACTCACCCGCTCCCTCACCAGATCACTCACTCACTCAGCCACTCACTCAGCCACTCATTCACTCAGCCACTCACCAGATCACTCACCAGATCACTCACCAGATCACTCACCAGATCACTCAGCCACTCACTCAACAGATCACTCAGCCACTCACTCACCAGATGACCCACCAGATCACTCACCAGATCACTCACCAGATCACTCACCAGATCACTCACCAGATCACTCAGCCACTCACTCACCAGATCACTCACCAGATCACTCACCAGATCACTCACCAGATCACTCAGCCACTCACTCATCAGATCACTCACCAGATCACTCACCCAGCCACCCACCAGATCACTCACCAGATCACTCACTCACCAGATCACTCACCAGATCACTCACTCACTAGATCACTCACCAGATCACCCACCAGATCACTCACCAGATCACTCACCAGATCACCCACCAGATCACCCACCAGATCACTCACCAGATCACTCACCAGATCACTCACCAGATCACTCAGCCACTCACTCACCAGATCACTCATTCACCAGATCACTCACCAGATCACTCACCAGATCACTCACCAGATCACTCACCAGATCACTCAGCCACTCACTCACCAGATCACTCACCAGATCACTCACTCACCCAGCCACCCACCAGATCACTCACCAGATCACTCACTCACCAGATCACTCACCAGATCACTCACTCACCAGATCACTCACCAGATCACCCACCAGATCACTCACCAGATCACTCACCAGATCACCCACCAGATCACTCACCAGATCACTCACCAGATCACTCACCAGATCACTCACCCAGCCACCCACCAGATCACTCACCAGATCACTCACTCACCAGATCACTCACCAGATCACTCACTCACCAGATCACTCACCAGATCACCCACCAGATCACCCACCAGATCACCCACCAGATCACTCACCAGATCACTCACCAGATCACCCACCAGATCACTCAGCCACTCACTCACCAGATCACTCACTCACCAGATCACTCACCAGACACTCACCAGATCACTCACCAGATCACTCACCAGATCACTCACCAGATCACTCACCAGATCACTCAGCCACTCACTCACCCAGATCACTCACCAGATCACTCACCAGATCACTCACCAGATCACTCACTCACCAGATCACTCACCAGATCACTCACTCACCAGATCACTCACCAGATCACCCACCAGATCACTCACCAGGTCACTCACCAGATCACCCACCAGATCACTCACCAGATCACTCACCAGATCACCCACCATATCACTCACCAGATCACTCACCAGATCACCCACCAGATCACCCACCAGATCACTCACCAGATCACTCACCAGATCACTCACCAGATCACTCAGCCACTCACTCACCAGATCACTCACTCACCAGATCACTCACCAGATCACTCAGCCACTCACTCACCAGATCACTCACTCACCAGATCACTCACCAGATCACCCACCAGATCACTCACCAGATCACTCACCAGATCACCCACCAGATCACCCACCAGATCACTCACCAGATCACTCACCAGATCACTCACCAGACTACTCACCAGATCACTCACCAGATCACTCACCAGATCACTCACCAGATCACTCAGCCACTCACTCACCAGATCACTCACCAGATCACTCACTCACCCAGCCACCCACCAGATCACTCACCAGATCACTCACCAGATCACTCACTCACCAGATCACTCACCAGATCACCCACCAGATCACCCACCAGATCACCCACCAGATCACTCACCAGATCACTCACCAGATCACCCACCAGATCACTCACCAGATCACCCACCAGATCACCCACCAGATCACTCACCAGATCACTCACCAGATCACTCACCAGATCACTCACCAGATCACTCACCAGATCACTCAACCACTCACTCACCAGATCACTCACTCACCAGATCACTCACCAGATCACTCACCAGATCACTCACCAGATCACTCACCAGATCACTCAGCCACTCACTCACCAGATCACTCACCAGATCACTCACTCACCCAGCCACCCACCAGATCACTCACTCACCAGATCACTCACCAGATCACTCACTCACCAGATCACTCACCAGATCACCCACCAGATCACTCACCAGATCACTCACCAGATCACCCACCAGATCACCCACCAGATCACTCACCAGATCACTCACCAGATCACTCACCAGATCACTCACCCAGCCACCCACCAGCTCACCCGCTTGCTTGGCGTGTTGGCATGTGTGTGTGTGACGTGTGTGTGTGTGTGTGACGTGTGTGTGTGACGTGTGTGTGTGTGTGACGTGTGTGTGTGTGTGACGTGTGTGTGTGTGACGTGTGTGTGTGTGTGTGACGTGTGTGTGACGTGTGTGTGACGTGTGTGTCTGTGTCTGTGTGTGACGTGTGTGTGTGTGTGTGTGACATGTGTGTGTGACGTGTGTGTGTGACGTGTGTGTGTGTGACGTGTGTGTGTGTGTGTGACGTGTGTGACGTCTTGGTGTGATGTGTGTGTGTGACGTCTTGGTGTGACGTCTTGGTGTGATGTGTGTGTGTGACGTCTTGGTGTGACGTGTTGTGTGGTTGCCAGGTGGAGGTTGACGGCAAGGCCTTCCAGGGCTCTGGGCCCAACAAGTGTGACGTGTGTGTGTGTGACGTGTGTGTGATGTGTGTGTGTGTGATGTGTGTGTGACGTGTGTGTGTGACGTGTGTGTGTGTGTGACGTGTGTGTGTGTGACGTCTTAGTGTGACGTGTGTGTTTGTGTGACGTCTTGGTGTGACGTGTGTTTGTGTGTGGTTGCCAGGTGGAGGTTGACGGCAAGGCCTTCCAGGGCTCTGGGCCCAACAAGTGTGACGTGTGGGTGTGTGTGTGTGTGACTGTGTGTGTGTGTGTGACTGTGTGTGTGTGTGTGACGTCTTGGTGTGACGTGTGTGTGTGATGTGTGTTTATATTCCAGGTGGAGGTTGACGGCAAGGCCTTTCAGGGCTCTGGGCCCAACAAGTGTGACGTGTTTGTGACGTCTTGGTGTGACGTGTGTGTGTGATGTGTGTGTGACGTGTGTGTGTGTGACGTGTGTGTGTGTGACGTCTTGGTGTGACGTGTGTGTGACGTGTGTGTGTGTTTGTGTGTGGTTGCCAGGTGGAGGTTGATGGCAAGGCCTTCCAGGGCTCTGGGCCCAACAAGTGTGACGTGTGTGTGTGTGTGTGACTGTGTGTGTGTGTGTGACGTGTGTGTGTGTGTGTGACGTGTGTGTGTGTGTGTTGTGTGTTGTGTGTGTTTATATTCCAGGTGGAGGTTGATGGCAAGGCCTTCCAGGGCTCTGGGCCCAACAAGTGTGACATCTTGGTGTGACGTCTTGGTGTGACGTCTTGGTGTGACGTGTGTGTGTTTGTGTTTGTGTGTGTTGTGTGTGCTCCAGGTGGAGGTTGACGGCAAGGCCTTCCAGGGCTCTGGGCCCAACAAGTGTGACGTGTGTGTGTGTGTGTGACGTGTGTGTGTGTGACATGTTGTGTGTGTGTGTGACTGTGTGTGTGTGTGTGTGACGTGTGTGTGTGTGACGTCTTGGTGTGACGTCTTGGTGTGACGTGTGTGTGACGTGTGTGTGTTTGTGTTTGTGTGTGTTGTGTGTGCTCCAGGTGGAGGTTGATGGCAAGGCCTTCCAGGGCTCTGGGCCCAACAAGTGTGACGTGTTTGTGTGTGTGTGAGTGACGTGTGTGTGTGTGACGTGTGTGTGTGTGACTGTGATGTGTGTGTGACGTGTGTGTGACGTCTTGGTGTGACGTGTGTGTGTGTGTGACTGTGTGTGTGTGACGTCTTGGTGTGACGTGTTGTGTGGTTGCCAGGTGGAGGTTGATGGCAAGGCCTTCCAGGGCTCTGGGCCCAACCAGTGTGACGTGTGTGTGACGTGTGTGTGTGAGTGACTGTGTGTGTGTGTGTGACGTGTGTGTGTGTGACGTCTTGGTGTGACGTCTTGGTGTGACGTCTTGGTGTGACGTGTGTGTGTGTGTGACTGTGTGTGTGTGTGTGATGTCTTGGTGTGACGTGTGTGTGTGTGTTGTGTGTTTATATTCCAGGTGGAGGTTGATGGCAAGGCCTTCCAGGGCTCTGGGCCCAACAAGTGTGACGTGTGTGTGTGTGTGTGACGTGTGTGTGACGTGTGTGTGTGACGTGTGTGTGTGTGTGACGTGTGTGTGTTTGACGTGTGTGTGTGTGTTGTGTGTGCTCCAGGTGGAGGTTGATGGCAAGGCCTTCCAGGGCTCTGGGCCCAACAAGTGTGATGTGTGTGTGACGTCTTGGTGTGTGTGTGTGTGTGACATGTTGTGTGTGTGTGTGTGACTGTGTGTGTGTGTGTGACGTGTGTGTGTGTGTGTTGTGTGATGTGTGTTTATATTCCAGGTGGAGGTTGATGGCAAGGCCTTCCAGGGCTCTGGGCCCAACAAGTGTGATGTGTGTGTGACGTCTTGGTGTGTGTGTGTGTGACATGTTGTGTGTGTGTGTGACTGTGTGTGTGTGTGTGACGTGTGTGTGTGTGTGTTGTGTGATGTGTGTTTATATTCCAGGTGGAGGTTGATGGCAAGGCCTTTCAGGGCTCTGGGCCCAACAAGTGTGACGTGTTTGTGTGTGTGTGTGTGTGACGTGTGTGTGACGTGTGTGTGTGTGTGTGTGTGACGTGTGTGTGTGTGTGTGACTGTGATGTGTGTGTGACGTGTGTGTGTGTGTGACGTGTGTGTGTGTGTGTGACGTGTGTGTGTGTTTATATTCCAGGTGGAGGTTGATGGCAAGGCCTTCCAGGGCTCTGGGCCCAACAAGTGTGACGTGTGAGTGTGTGTGTGTTGTGTGTGTGTGACTGTGTGTGTGTGACGTCTTGGTGTGACGTCTTGGTGTGACGTGTGTGTGACGTGTGTGTGTGTGTGACGTGTGTGTGTGTGACATGTTGTGTGTGACGTGTGTGTGTGACGTGTGTTGTGTGTGTGTGACGTGTGTGTGTGACGTGTGTGTGTGACGTGTGTGTGACGTGTGTGTGTGTGACTGTGTGTGTGTTGTGTGTGTGTGTGACGTGTGTGTGTGTGTGTGTGTGACGTGTGTGTGTGTGTGTGTGTTTATATTCCAGGTGGAGGTTGATGGCCAGGCCTTCCAGGGCTCTGGGCCCAACAAGTGTGACGTGTTTGTGTGTGACGTGTTGTGTGTGTGTGTGTGTGACGTGTGTGTGTGTGACGTCTTGGTGTGACGTCTTGGTGTGACGTCTTGGTGTCACGTGTGTGTGTGTGTGTGACGTGTGTGTGTGTGACGTGTGTGTGTGTGACTGTGTGTGTGTGTGTGACGTGTGTGAGTGTGTGTGTGTTGTGTGTGTGTGACGTGTGTGTGTGTGTGAGACTGTGTGTGTGTGACGTGTGTGTGTGTGTGTTGTGTGTGTGACGTGTGTGACTGTGATGTGTGTTGTGTGTGTGACGTGTGTTGTGTGTGTGTGTTTGTGTGTGTGTAGTGTGTGACTGTGTGTGTGTGACTGTGTGTGTATGTGTGACATGTTGTGTGTTGTGTGTGTGTGTGTGTTTATATTCCAGGTGGAGGTTGATGGCCAGGCCTTCCAGGGCTCTGGGCCCAACAAGTGTGACGTGTGTGTTTGTGTGTGTGTGTGTGACTGTGTGTGTGTGTGTGACGTGTGTGTGTGTGTGTGACTGTGTGTGTGTGACGTGTGTGTGTGTGTGTTGTGTGTGTGACGTGTGTGACTGTGATGTGTGTTGTGTGTGTGACGTGTGTTGTGTGTGCTCCAGGTGGAGGTTGATGGCCAGGCCTTCCAGGGCTCTGGGCCCAACAAGTGTGACGTGTGTGTTTGTGTGTGTGACTGTGTGTGTGTGTGTGACGTGTGTGTGTGTGTGTGACTGTGTGTGTGTGACGTGTGTGTGTGTGTGTTGTGTGTGTGACGTGTGTGACTGTGATGTGTGTTGTGTGTGTGACGTGTGTTGTGTGTGCTCCAGGTGGAGGTTGATGGCCAGGCCTTCCAGGGCTCTGGGCCCAACAAGAAAGTGGCCAAGGCCCAGGCCGCTCTCACAGCCCTCGACGCCCTCTTCCCCACGGGGGGAGGGGCCTCGGGCGGAGGGGGAGGAGCCTCGGGGGGAGGAGCCTCGGGGGGAGGGGCCTCGGGGGGAGGGGCCTCGGGGGGCCCCGCCCCCGCGGCGCCCCGCGGCAGGGGGGGTGCACGGCCCCCTCCGGTGAGTCACGCGGCACGTGGCGTGTAGTACACATGTTGTTAACATGTTGTTAACATGTTGTTAACATGTTGTAGTACACATGTTGTTAACATGTTGTTAACATGTTGGTGACATGTTGTACACATGTTGTCAACATGTTGTTAACATGTTGTTAACATGTTGTAGTACACATGTTGTTAACATGTTGTTAACATGTTGTAGTACATGTAGTACACATGTTGTTAACATGTTGTTAACATGTTGTACACATGTTGTTAACATGTTATAGTACACATGTTGTTAACATGTTGTACACATGTTGTTAACATGTTGTTAACATGTACACATGTTGTTAACATATTGTTAACATGTTGTTAACATGTTGTAGT